ATCTGAGATCTCTGTCCAGAAGAGTGCAGTCCTAGGAACAGCTAAGATACTGTGCAGGACCCTCAAGCTCCCAGGCCTCTGGTAGAGGACCTGAGCTTGAAGGAAGGAAGGAATAAGACCGCTCCAAAGTGGGGGGTGAGTGGGGAATTATTATAATTTTTTTTGTACATACTGTATGTGTATATATACGTACATATGTGTGTGTGTATGTGTGTGTGTGTGTGTGTGTGTGTGTGTGTGTGTGTTGTGCAACAATGTTAACATTATGAAAATATGGCTGAACGGTAAAACAGCATCTTGCCAACTTTCCACTCACTGTTCATAACAGTTTACATGCATTGTTGTACAGACTGGCACCTCACAACTATACACTGTCACAGGAACAGTAAACACAGAACACAGAAAAGACGTGCAAATGCACAAGAGATACCATGCACATGACATTATGATCTAAAGACATAATGATGTTTTATGTCCAACTTAATGTGCATTTGAGAAAATAGCACACCAAAGTTCTGCAACTGAAGTCTAAAGCCATTAATCTAACATGAGTTTAACAAAATGCACTAAGAGCCAACTACAACTACAAGCCAACTGGAATTTCCCCACTGTGGGATCAATAAAGTTCTACCCTACCCCTACAACGGCAGGACATATTTCAGTGCATAAAGTAAACTCCATCGCAAACAACCAACATTAGGCAGTGTTAACTGAGTTGCTGAATACAGGTATGTCTGAATTTTGATTTCTTTTTGTAAAGGAATGTCCATCAACCTCAGACAAAGGTTGATGACTGACTTCATCAACATCCATGTGTGAGTTAGGAACAAAAAAACAAAACACAACACAGAACTGTAAAAAAAAATAAAAAATAACATTTTAAAGAATACTACATTATTGTCAGGTTTCATTTACCAGCTTGTCTCTAAAGCAACACAAAACCCTCCTAACAAAATAAGAAACAGAGAAAACAAACTTACTGTTCTCAGTGGCCAGTCTAAGCAGTTTCCCATACCAAAGGAGAACAGAGGTACCCAAAAGGACCATGAGGACTTTTTCTCCCTTACATTTGCAGTTTGGGTTTTGAGAGGAGTGCAAACTCTGGTTACAGCAAGACCCATGAAGCCTGGGTGCTAACCTACAGCTGTTTGAAAAACCTGTGAGCCTCACTGTGCTGCACCCGGTGGAATGAATGAAAGCAGCAAGAGTAAGATTGCCAATGACATGGTAAGAGAGAGAGGGAGAAGAAATAAGAGCGAGGGCAAGAAACTATATAACACAGGGATGCAGACCGAGGAGGGACAGAGTATTATGCCTATTAAAGGAACAGTGGGTGATCCACTGCGCTATTT